TTTCATCTAAAGGGCGTGGGGTTGGGTTCAAGCATTCAAAGGGACAGTTGTGTCACAAATGAAAAACTTTATTTTAGTTCTTTATATTTTTAAGTCATTGATTCCATATTTATAATGCAATTGAATTTTTAAGGAATTTTATTTTCAATTTATTAAATCCTTTGCTTAAATCGTAAGACATTTATTTAAACAAAACTTATATATATTTCAATTATTATTAAATAATTGTATTTTATTACAATAGAAATTAATTTTATAGTTTAAACAAACGCGCGGTTATGAAATCACTCTTAAACTATTAATTGTTTCTAAAATACACTTTATAAAAAACTCTAACAAACCAAGTTTATTAGTCTTATAATTTATATACTTCATTATTGTTTATAATGGTTTGTAATATGATGTGTAAATTTGCATTACAAGTATCCATTCAAATCTTGTAATAATAATTTTTAGCAATTAGCAATGAGATACATATCATATTGTATTCATATAAAAGTTATTCAAATAATTTACATATAAATATTTTGTATAAATATTGTTTGTACATTAAATGATGTCTGCATTTTAAACAAATACTACTCTTTAATAAGTCTTTACTTAATTAATATATTTTGTTTAATTATTGCTGAATTGTAAAGCAATACAGTTTACAAAAATATTGTGGTCAAGAGTTTGTAAAACACATTTCAATAATTAGGTATAAAAAGTGTGTCCATTAGAACCCAATAGAACCAATTGCACATACAATGTATGTCATACAATCTAGTTTAATTATTAATTGTATCAAAAGTTGAGGTATTTATATGTAAATTGAGTAAAGATCTCAAAAACAAATGATACAATCAAAGTGATCTTTTTAGGCAATTATCATCACATATCAGATGCAAAAAATTATCAATTACATTAAGTTAGATAATCATAGAGATAATCATGGTGATTTTAAAATTTGTTAGTTAAAAACTTCAAATTTCTATAGAAAATATTTTTAAATTTTACTATAAATGTTTTTTTTTGTATCAGCAATATTGCATGTACCGAACTATAATATCAAAAAGGCAAAATTAAAACTTTTGATGTGTTTCAGAAATGTTGTCAATAAATGATCTAATGTAGAAAATATGGGATTAGTTGTGCCTACAATAATGGGTGTCCATATTTTTTACCTTAAAATCGAGCTATTAATATACAGTATTTTCAAATATAGAAACAATTTAAAGATTTATTACAAGAAGACAAATAATTGACCATGATTATAAAGTATACCGACGATTAAACTTATCGTGTTAAGAATAAATTAATTTTTAATTTCATGTCAAATTATCGCGGAACATTTCTTTATTGATATTAACATAATCATATCTATATAACAAAAACTAATATAAAACTTTATGTAAAAATCATTTTTATTCTTATAAAAAATTATTTTTAATTTATTTAACAAGATTCCTCGCATTATTATTTGTTTCTTCTATTAAAGAATATAATATATATATTATGCAGTATTATTATACAGTATTATATACAATGAGTAATAACTTATTACTTTATTTAATTAAATCATTATACATGTATTATGATTAATCATTGTCAATTGTCAATTGTCACTGACAATTGTCAGTACAATATTTAAATAAAATTTAAGCTTATATTTATAGAAACATCATGCTTTATTTTACATATGATTATTAATCTAGAAGACTATTTTTAGTAATTGAAAATAATGTTAAAACTCATTTATAGTATTTGATAGCATTTGATATAAATATCACAAAAATGAATTTTTCAATTTTTAAGTTTAATGTCATAAAATTTATGACATAAATGAGTTTTAACACTATGCTATCAAATATTGATTAATAATCATATTTGGTTATTCATATGTTTTAAATTTGAAAGAAATTGCAATTAAAAGAGAAATTAAATTATAAATGATGACAGAATTGTCATTAAATAATGTAAAGTAACTTAATGTAAGTAGTTAATTTTTATATTTCTAGTAATTTGTGTAGAAATGGTGAGGAATAGCGTTATAGAGTTAGGGCTGCGGAGTGTAAGTGATGTCATGCGCTCTCTATTATGTTATGTAATGGCAATGAATGATCACCAGAACCGGTATAACCCCTGGATATTGTCACCACTTCTCACATCCAATTGTCAGCTATTATTACGCATCCCATAGAGTCTATGGCATAGACTATAGACTATACTATTTCATACATCAAATATTTGACATTCAAAGTCCAAGGACTTTAACCGTTTAAATTAGACCTAATGTGTGATATTTGTACGACACATACATTTAGTTATCCTTATAACCAATAGTCACTTATTTTCTTTGATTTTTCAATTATATTACAATTATTATAAGAGATATAATATTATCAAATATTATAATATTGTTTGACTTTTATTGAAATTATTTTATAAAATTGTACACAAAATTGTCATTAATAGTGAAGAAATTGATACGAATCGTGAATTTTACAAAAAAGTATATCTATTGGTGATTACATTGAAGGACTCACAAAATGTCCCTTTCTTTCACTAAGTCTCGTATCGAGTCATTGAATTAAATCCAACGAATTGTTAAAATAATATTTCATTAGTTTCTAAATATATATATAATTCATAATATAATATATTTGTATATTAAAGTTCTGTGAATTCAGAGTTTTGGTTCAATCAAAGCTATTCAAACTTATTATTGCTTTTTGTTCATCAAATCCACGATAAGATAGTGGAAATTGTGTGGAAAATAACTTTTTAAGTTTATTGGCTATATTTGGCTATATTTGGTTATATTTGACAAAATATTTCCATATTTTCGTTGAGAATAATATAAATAAAGCGTTGATTTTTGATAATTATTTGTATTTAAATAAAAGTCAAATTGAATTGATTTGGAAATCATTGAAAATGACAAAAGACGAGATCCCGAACCGAAAGATATCGCAGAATAACGGCGCCAAACCCTTCCCTATTAGAGGTTGTTTTCAATGCTCTTTTAATTGTGTTTTAATAATGATTTACTCGCATAACAGGCGACCGGACGACAGCGTATGTCAACATTCCTCATGTCATAGCAATGGTTGGACTCCCGGCCAGAGGAAAGACATACATCGCTAAGAAGTTGACCCGTTATCTCAATTGGATTGGCATTAATACCAGAGTTTTTAATGTTGGAGAGTATAGGAGACAAGCGACTAAAGCCTATCGGAATCATGACTTCTTCCGTCCCGACAATAAGGATGCGCTTATTATACGAAAGTAAGTCTTTAGAGCACTTGCAATATGTTGAGCACATTGTGGTCTATTTGGTATGAAAATGATATACTGTATAATGTATTGCAGCAAATGTGCTGTCGATGCTCTGGAGGACATGTGCACGTGGCTCGAGGAGGGCACCGGAGAAGTGGCCGTATATGACGCCACCAACACTACTGTCGATAGAAGACAACTCATTCACGACACTGTTGTCGACAAATATGGATATAAATTATTTTTTGTTGAATCCTTTTGCAACGACCCCAACATAATTGAGGCCAACATTAGGGTAAGTTTAAGACTACTTTGAATGAATGAAAATTGAATTGATTGTATGTAACAGGAGGTGAAGGTTCACAGTCCGGACTATCGGGATGTGAGCAATGAGGACGCGTTGAATGACTTTACGCAACGCATAGAGCACTACGAACTCGCGTATCAGCCTCTCGATGAAGAACGAGAAAAACATTTCTCTTTCATGAAAATCTATAACGCGGGAGAAAAGGTGATCGTTCACAGACATGAGGGACACATTCAGAGTCGAGTTGTGTATTATCTGATGAACATTCACATAATCCCGCGGTCTATATACCTGACCCGTCACGGAGAGAGTGTCTATAACTTACTCGGAAGGATAGGCGGAGACGCAGAGCTTTCCGAAAGGGGTTGGGAGTACTCGAAAGCATTGGCTAAATATATTTCTGAGCAAAATATCCCTCGCCTTCGAGTGTGGACTTCTCAGCTTCAGAGGACAGCACAGACTTCAGAAGCTATTAAAGCGCCTCAAGAGAGATGGAAAGCTTTGAATGAAATCGACGCCGGAATTTGCGAAGAAATGACTTACGAAGAAATTCAGACTAAATATCCGGATGAGTTTGCATTACGAGACCAGGATAAGTTTCACTATCGATACCCTAAAGGAGAGGTATAGTGACAAAAGTGGCAATTATTTGGGAGTAATTATTTGTTGTTTGAAATTAAAGTCATACGAAGACTTAGTGGCCCGACTGGAGCCGGTTATCATGGAGTTGGAGCGTCAGGAGAATGTGCTCGTTGTCGGACATCAGGCAGTATTGCGCTGTCTTTTGGCTTACTTTCTGGACAAGAGCTCAGGTGAGAGTGAGGGCGAGTGCGAGTGAACGAGTGTTTTGTGTGCATATTTAGATAGTGGTGAAAATTGTATGTCAATGTTGTGCTCTGTCGTACACAACCGATAGCTGTGGCCAACACTTTGTTCTCTATCCATATCTCTAGCGGATATGCCGTATATAAAAGTACCTCTTCATACCATAATCAAGTTAACGCCCTTCGCATACGGCTGTCAACTCGAGGAGATAATAGTGCCGATCGCGGCCGTCGATGACCACAAACTCTTATAAGGCACCGATGATATGATATGTCTCACTATTTCACACTCTATGCACTCAATGTCTTATTACTTGATGTCTACTTAAGTTATTTGTGTTCTGTTTTCTAATTCTCATAATATTATCAATTTCTTTACTTTGGGCCCAATTTATGTAAATCTAATAATATTTATGTTTTTCAAATCGTTTAAGTTATTAATTATTGTTTTGTCGATAATTAAAACAGTATTTGTCTTATAAATGATTATAAGCAACGATTGATTGCAAATATTAAACTATATAAAGAATGAATGAATTAAATTAATTTGTCTCAAGAATAGATGAAATAAAGTGATGAGATATTAATGTTGGGAATATTTTTCTAATGTAACAGACTTTCTCGGGTACCTGAAAGTCCCGCTCCACACTATAATTAAGTTGACTCCCGTTGCCTATGGCTGTCAAGTCGATGAAATACACATTCCTATTGAAGCTGTCAATACTCATCGCGAGAAACCTCTGGTAAGACTCGACCCAAACAATGACAATATCTGCTCAAATGCCTCTTCAGTCTAAACACTGTTGTTTGAAACACTTTGTACTAAAATTATATGTAATATGTTTTCGTTTTTACTTTTTTATTTTAATAATTTGTGGTTTTAATTAATAATTTTAACATTCAATCTATGGTTTTAACTAACATTTGCTTATTTCTGATTATTTAACATTTGATGCACTTATAAGTTATTGCATTATTTCTGTTGACACATTTGCACTACAATTCTTGTCTTGAAATTCTTATATATAATATGTTTTGATATGAAATTAATGAATGCATTTTGAATCGTAAGAATGGGTAGAATAATTGATAAAATATGTCTTCACAGGTTATATCACAAATATATCGCAATTGCTTTAATAATATGTTTCCGACAAATCTATCGCAATGTCGTAATAATATTTGCCAATCAAATGATCCTAACTCTCAATACGGTTGTCATAAACTTATGCCTCTCCGGAATCGTCTCACCAGAAACTTCTATAAACAACTAATCCTTAATGAAGACATTGAATACGAGTTTTAGCATAAATAACATTAATCATTCTTGTTTGTCTAATGTTTGTATTTGAGACATTAAATTAATGATTTGTAATATATTTATTACAACATTTTTTAATCAGTGAATTGTCAAAATTCCTTAAACACTTTTTATAACAAATTAATTAATTGGCATTTATATTGGAATAAGTCTTTAGTAATAATAAAATAGACATTTTCAAGCTTTGGAAGTGTAGTGCAAATAATATTATATAATGTTTACTGTTATTTACCAAAAAAATTAATGAATTAATTAAGTTAATGAACTGCAATCAATTAAATACATTTTAAATGACATAATGACAATTTAATCAATTGATATATTGGTTATACAATATAAGGCAACTGTCTATTCAAATGTGATATTACGTGTACACATCTAATGATTCTGCAACTTATATATCCGATAATCAAAACATTGAGAGATTTATATAAATTTATTTCTATACAATATTTACGCGTTTTGTTAATAAATATTTTCATTAATAAAATAAAAGTTCAATTATTTATTATTAATAAATAACAACGAGATAGTGATAAATGAATGCTATGGAAATGTGGGCATTACCTATGAGTTGTGCAATCATTGCAATGGACACATTGACAGATCCACTGAATACAAACATTTAAATTGTTTTTATATAAACCCTTTGAGTGATCACTAAAATGTTGGCCTTAAATATTTATGAGTTGTAATGCTTTTGAAATAAATATATCATTCTTAACACTGAATTACTATAACATTAATGTTACATATTTAGTCAAATTAACTATATTTGCGTGTAATTATTTTAAGTTAACATTTTCATATAACATTTGTTGAGATTATTGATGTCTTAATAGCGGTAAGAATGAGAATACTTTGAAACTATTCATATGACAATATACATAATACATTATATTATAATAATTAGATCTATTATAATAACAATAGTTTAATAATAAATTGTAAATCCCAACTTACATTAAGGCATTATAAATAAATTAATAGTAAACATCTATTTGTTGATTGGTGTTTTGTGACTAAAAGTGCCTTGGTGAGATTTGCAATTTATTTGATCTAACTAGACTGTATGGAGAATGGTTGACTAACATTGATATGTATAATGAATGTGTGCTAATAATAGTTTATTCCTCCAGAACTGTAATGTGGACCGCGATTCCGAAGAAGCCCTCCTAACTGTTCCGCAACACAAATGACATTCAATTGCTTTATTAGCACTCAATTGTAGTTCAATGCAATTCAACGCTAACACATACACCGATTTGTGCCTATATTAACAGCTCAATCAAATCAATCAAATTTTCATATTTTTGATACTTTTGATAATTTTTTAATTCAATGTTTGAAATATTTTTTTTATATAGTTTTGGAATTTATACGCTTTAAACAAATCAATTGGAAATACAAATTCAATACCAATTTTTACATAAATGTTAACAAATTTGTTTTCATTATCAATTAATTAATGTTTTTCGGGAAAGTTTTCACTATTAGATCAAAAATAACTTTATTTTATTAAAATTTGTTGTTATAAATGGTTTGTTAATTGATTTAATCAATGTTTCGATTCACACAAACACTCAATTCAAATAAAGATAAGTTTTTAAAACACATTTTTTAAAAATTTAACTCCATTTCAAAGCGGTTCTCTCTCCTGATTACTCGTGTGACGACTATTTCATTACACTTTCATTTCAAACGGTCGTCAATAAGAATAAGTTCAGGTCTTTTGGCTTTCCATCTGAAGGACAAATGGTATTAATCGATATGACTATTGATTCCATGCCTAACAATGAATCTCGAAAAGTGAGACTTTTTGGATATGTTAACGACTTTAGTACCGAAAATATCAATGCAAACACAATTGTATTGCCCGGACTTGTTNGAGAGAGAGAGACTAATGGAGAAAATAAATAAATAAATTTTTACGACTATTTGGAGAGAGAATATAAAAAACAGATTAAATATATAGATATGAATATTGTAATGAATATTATATTCCTGTTTTACCCTATGATCTGCAAGTTTCTCTCTCTCTCTCTCTCTCTCTCTCTCTCTCTTTCTTTCTAGAAAAATATAATCTTCAAATATATAAAAAATATTTATATTTTTGCGAGTATTTTATGCGTAAAATTTATGTTTCCTTTATTACCACATCTTCTGGAGTCAGAAATCATGCAAAAAATTACTGAATTTTTATGTTTATTAGTATTATTATTGTATAGCATTGTATAGTATTGTATGTGTCTATGGGGTTAACGGGAGGGTAAAGGGATGGGGAGAGTGAGACTTATGGGCATAATATGTATGGATACGGACGTTGAGAGTCGGGTGCTGTTAAGGCCAGTGGTTTTTTTGCTGTAGTGTTTTGTTTGAAGTTTATTTTAAATCATATGCCAAATACATAAATTACCAAGTAAATATTTTTAGTGCCAAAAAACGCATATATTTTTCTCTATGGCATTCAAATGTAATGTTTAGAAATGGTTTTTATGATTATTTTCGATATGTATTACCACTTATATAATGTATGGTATTATTTGTGTCTGTGTTATGTTTGAGTGTATTTTATTTTGTTTTCACGATTTAATACCAAAAAGTAATTTTAAAATACAGTAAATAAGTTTTCTTTTCGGTTACTTATTATGTTTAGCGTTTGTTTTATAATTATTTTAATCGTAACTTATATTTTTAAAACATATTGTTTTTCGTTTTGTTAAATAAACAGTTGATTCTGGGATTTATTAGTAGAAAACATGAGATAATTATTGTTTTACACAAATATTTACCAAAAAATATGGTTTTTTAAAATAAAAGTAATTCATTTCGCAGTGTTTTTCACTCTTTCCAGTCTTAAGGAGACGTTTTAAAAGCATTTTAACTCATCTCAGTCTCCCTTTAAGTTTCTCTCTCTCTCTCTCTCTCTCTCTCTCAAGAAAAAATGTGTTGAGAATATTATTCAAACGATTTGGAGGCACACAAAAGGGTATTATTTTTGTGATGAAAAATATTTAACTATTAAAATATTTTGAACCCCTTTTTGTTCAATAAATAATAAATTTAAAAAACCATGTTTTAAAAATCAAACAAAACAGCTTAAGCTTTAATTTCTATCTAATATTACATAGAACTTATATTGTGTACCCATTAAATATAACCCTGGTGTATTATTTTGTAAGCTGTTATATATATGGTAGGCCAAAGTTTTATCAAGGTCTTTCGGAGGCCCACAATAAACAATTAAAAAATTAGGACTTTTTAATGTATTTTTTCAAGTATTCAAATACAATGAGTGCTTCAATATATGCACATAAAATTGGTATAAAAAATATAATTATCTAATAACAAGTTTTTTTGCTTTCAATATTAAATGAGGTATTCATCAGATAATGAAGAATATTATATTTGACATAAGGGGAGAGAGAGGAGAGAGAGAGAGAGAGAGAGAGAGAGAGAGACTAATGGAGAAAATAAATAAATAAATTTTTACGACTATTTGGAGAGAGAATATAAAAAACAGATTAAATATATAGATATGAATATTGTAATGAATATTATATTCCTGTTTTACCCTATGATCTGCAAGTTTCTCTCTCTCTCTCTCTCTCTCTCT